GTTTACCTATCACTTAATAAATTTCAATTTTTAAAAAAATTATTTGGTTAAAAATGCGAAACATGGACTAGATTCTAAATAAGCTTATCTATTATCTAGTATTACTCATTTTGACCCATTTTACATGTAGTAATTTGTTTCTGTATTGTTTTGATGTGAGTTTACTATGAATGGTGATCTAAATAATTTAAATTTGCTGTTATTCTGTTAAGCTTCATAATCGGCAAGTAATGATACTTAGTAGTTAGCAATAAATTCCATAGTAAAAGTAAATTAGGCTGCTAATGAATATATTAGAATAAATTTAAAATAAAAATTATTTTGTTATGTTTAGTTATCAGTAAAATTTATAAATAAATTTTAAAAAGCTGAGAGGGTTAGGAACAGTTCAATATAGGCCTATAAATCTAATTTCAACATAGCTACAACATAATTTTCGACCCAGCGTCTACATAATTATGCAGTCGAAAATCCCGATATTAAACATCTGATTTTATTGCTATTGATGGTCATTACATATTTAAAACTATTTATCATTATAAAAGTATATTTAACAACAACTCGTCCACGTCTACTTTACAAATCAATAAATGAGTATATTACAACTTTGGTTATTTTGAGTTCGTAAAACAGTTTAAATAACTGTATTGTACAGTATATATGTTGAAATAAATAAATAAATAAATAAATTTAAAAAATAAATTTAAAAAAATATAGGCCTTTATATATATATATATATATATATATATATATATATATAGACTATATATATATATATATATATATATATATATATATATATATATATATATATATATATATATATAATATATATTATGTATAATAAAGCCCATCCTGAATGAGTGTTGTTTCAATATAATCGGGCTATTTAAAGTGTAATAGTAGCCAACGTCAGTCTTACACTGAGTGAATTCAGTTATTTTAATATGTTGGTGTTGATGCTTGGTTTCCTTGTCAGGCATTCCTGCTTGGTTTCGATGCCAGTGTGGATCATAAACAGAAGGCGGGCGTGTATTAACGTATTGACCAGCTGGTGAGAAGTTTTTTTTTTAAAACTATACACACAACGAACAACGTGAGTGTGGGATGAGTGAGTGAGACAAGCCGGCACTTGAGTGTGAGTACTCACACGAGACACGTGAGTGGAATGGATTTAATGTTGTTGGTAAATCATCAAGGGACGCAACCTATGTCGGAGTTTAATTACTAGTAAAGGGACGCTATCCATGTTGTTAAGCCACTCTTCAACGGACGCCATCCCGTGCCTCACTACAACAAATGCCCAAGGGCCGCAACCACCTGTATCGGATTGTAATTACTAAGGGAAGCTACCCATGTTGGATTGCGATATCTCCTCAAGGGGCAGGCACCTATGTCGGGAAAATCTGGACATGTCAGCGACCAGTTCCTGGCAAATTTGGAACCCTACCACTTGCATTTATCGTCTGCTAATGTTCAGAACTCACGTCTGCTCCCTCGTCTGACGTCACCATGTCACGCAGAAAACAGTCGAACCCCAAACCGCTAAAACGTGAGTACTGACATTTTTTTTACACATTTTTTTTAAATTTTTACTTTTTAAAAAAACATCTTCAGGTTGTGTTACATATTTGTTGATTTTTTTGTTCCGAGTATTGCTAATCAATACCTAGGCATTAATTCGAATCTCTGTCCCTTACCTTCTTCCTGACCCGATCTCTAACCTTAAGCCTACCAAAGATTCCAATAAACAAGAAGCAAAACAAGGTACACTACTGTCTTGTCGCGTTTTTTAAAACCAAAATATTTGATACAGATTATGTTTAAAAATACCATAATATAAATAAGCTAAGCACTGAGTAACAGACACTTTATACCATACATTAGGTAAGGGTTTTAATAAGATTAGTATTAAGATTATGAATAGAGCAAAGCCTCTACCTTGTCTCCATAAGAATGTAATATTTTTAAAAAAAATGTAATCCCTAAATGCGTCTCCAGATCATCATTACAATATCATTATCCTTTTGATTATTATCATGCTCTTACATATTATCTCCCCCCTTACTTATTCTATATTTGTTACATATTACTTGCTTCCCTCGCTTATAATCGCATTTTACATATTATCTTGATTACCACCATCAACCTCTAGCTTATAATCATCAGTATATTGTTATTACCAACCTCTTGTTTATTATTATGATCCTATTGTCATCACCTTTCTATCGTTTTGCTTATTAATACTAATAATACCGTCCTCATCACAATCAACAGCATCAAAAATCAAGGCTGCACTTAACCTATCTACCTACAACCGCATTTTACCTCCCTTCCCCCTCCACTCCCCCCCTCCCCCTCTACCTCCATACCTCTCCCTTCACTCTCCATCTCCATCTCCCCATCACCACCTCCCCCTCCCCTCCACTTCCCCACCTCCCCCTCCATTTCCCTACCTCTCCCCTCACTCTCCATCGCCCCTCCACTCCCCACCTCCCCCTTCACTTCCCTACCTCTCCCCTCACTCTCAGTTTCCCCCCCCCCCACTTCCTCTCTCCCCTCCCCTTCACTCGCCACCTCCCCAGTATCCTACACATATTTTATTCCCTCATATTATGAATGACATCTGATGACATGTTTTTAGCTAATTAAAGTACTCTTTCTCCCATTGGAGATTAACATGTGGTTACCTACACGTTTATCGACCACCATGTACTTTATACACATTACCACTACACATAACCATAACAATATGCTACAAAATATACATTCCTAACTACTTCCGCTTAGCAGCGGTTCGCCTCAATCGAAACTAAATATCCAATTATTTAATAAAAAAAAACAAGAGTGCATAATATCGATTTTTTTAAAATGTCATACATAAATCTAGTAATAGTGGTTTGAAAATAAATTACAATGTTTCTTTAACAGAATATACAATGATTCGACTTAAATCAACTGAAATTTAAAAATCAAACTGATCTTATTGACATTCTATCGTCAGCCTTAGTCAATGTTACTACAACATTCTTCTACTGTGCTTATGTGTTGTTGCCTGTGTGTATGTATGTGTGTGTGCTGTGCTAAGATCGCCAGCTCAGATAACTACGTGTCGGCTCTGTCGAGATAATTTCCTCCAGATAAAAAGCTCGACTTTATTTCAGTCGGCCCCGGCGATAAGATCGACGATAAGATAGCTGTCAGTTCGCCGATATGCAGATTAGATAGGTCAGGACAGATAACCGCTACACATTGTTTAAAAGCGGAGAGGAATTGGGAGGGGGGGGGGGGAATAGTTGGAGGGTTGGATTTATCGCAAGGGGAGGGGGGGGGAAGAGATACAGTCAATAGATTTTATGATGTGTGTCAGCGTTGGTTGGTTTTTTTTTCTTTCTGTACACAAATATAGACAAAGGGTATTATGAATTGTAACGATTTGTTAGCAGGACCGACAACTGCTGTTTGACGCATGTTATTCTCTCTTACTTATCTACTCATTTATTCAACCATAGATCCACACATTTATATTTCTCAACTCATCAACCCCACCCCCCTTCTATTCAGTAGGTCTTTTCATGCCCCCCATCCGTGTACTCAGATGACCTTTACCACAGTCCAGTGTTAACCTTGAAGCCACTGCCCCTCACTCACTCAACCGTTACCCCCCCCCCCCCTCCTCCTGAGTAACCACAGCACACACTTGTATAACAACAACAGCTGACTCACCCTTTTGTCTGATAACAAAACACAACATGCATGTTTTAGTGGCTAGTAAAAAAAAACACAACATGCATGTTTTAGTGGCTAGTAAAAAAAAAAACACAACATGCATGTTTTAGTGGCTAGTAAAAAAAAATGTAGAATCCATACTTGCACTCAGCTTATTTTGTTTGAGCTTATTCTTGGTTGGTGTTCTCCCAACCGTCCCCCTCCCGCTTCGAACTTATTGGTCTTATAATCAACCCCACCCAAACGTATTGTTCTTATAATCAAACCCCACCTCCAGCCCCACAGCAACATGATACTATAACCTCCCACCCCGACGAATGGCTGTTGTAACTTCCCATCCTTGCCACTTTGTCTACCCCCCCCCCTTCTTCACCATCATTACCCCCTCCCCCCACCCACCCATTTTAACTCAGTCTCTTTTAGATTGCCTTAATTTTGTAAATCTAACTGGTCGTAGTGTTTACACTACTAAAAACTCGATGCATGATAGGCGAGGCGATTCGGTGCCGTGTGGAGGGGTGGGTTCGAATCCCGTCTGGCTAAAACTGCCCTGTTTTTTTTTTTCTTGGACTATATTCTGCATATGTCTACCTTTGCCGTTGAAATAACACAACAATAAAAATAGCTATATTATCGTTAAGGATGTTTTGTTCTATCACATGATCAGACAAGGACCGGGCGTATTGTTGTGAAGGGTGGGAGTGGGACATCGACAGTCGCCTACTGCAGTACACATGTTATAAAGGTAGGGGGGGATCTAAAATGTTAGTAAGTAACATGACTATATTGGTGTCAATCCTAACTGTGATGGTGTAAGCTTGTGTCATGCAATGATAACTTCATTAGATATCACATTGGATTAATGATACTTTATGGTTAGGGTCAAGTGGTTAAGAATGGAGAGTCCAAGTGTGTGGGAGGGAGAGAGATGCGATGTTTTGCTTAGTGTGGTGTGTGTGAGGGAGGTGAGGGAGGTGTTCCTGATCGCACTAGGTTCTATCTATTTATTGTGCAATGTCCAATGTTTTGGGGTATGAAAACTTGTTTTTTGGGATGCATCTATTTTTATCGGATAACCTAAATGGTTCTTATGGTTGTTTTTTTTTAATGTTAAATTGATGTTGAAAATGCTTATATGGATGCATCTTGTTTTGGGGGGGGGGGGGGGTTGGAGAGGGGTATGCATAATAATTCTTGAGGAACTTTATTTAGATTTTACCAAGTCGTTCTTTTATTACTCAGCGGTTCTCGATATATTACCAACCAAGCCGTTTTGCAATAACAAAGGTAGCCGTCAAACCCCCTTGATCAGGTCCCCTTGATCTCTGGTGCTGCTCATATGTGATGTGCTGTTGTAATGACACGTGTAGCCATCAAACCACCTTGATACTGACCCCCCAACCCTGTGCTTCCTAGATATGCTGTTGTAGCTGACTCGTGTAGAAACCCTCACCACCAGCCTGTTGATTCTTACAGCACTGACCTCATCAGAGATTATCTCTTTCGTCAAGCCAGCCAATGTCCCATCTAAGCTGCGCTACTAGTAAAATTACCGTCATGCGATTATGTAAAACACCACACCTCGCGTCGTTTTCAAAACACAGCACATAAAACATAAATTATGGATGCGATTATTTTTGAAGGAATATTGGTACATAGGGACGGCGTGGTCGAATGGTAGAGCGTTCGACTGCTAACCCGAACGTTTCGAGTTCGGAACCCTGACTCGAGTCCGCAGCACGTCCCTGAGTCCATCCAGCTCTGATGGGTACCTGCCTCACGTTAGAAAAAGTAAAGACCACTCCATCACCGAAACAGGTGAGCTCTACTTCACCTGCCCATGTTTGAACGAGTACTGTATGTTGGAACCTACAGTGCCGAATACCTTTAACTTCCATTAGGTCACGGTGACCCGACTCTCACCTGAAACACGGCCGTCTGGTACCATTCTTTAAAACCTTTTTACCGTGTCACGGTCCGTTTTTAAAACCCTTGTTATCTAAGGGGATTCAAGTTTTCGACAAGGCGCCACCTCGCATAATAAATATCCGGATCAATAACCAGGTGCGTTCCGGTATGGTGTTGTGTTGAGGAGGGGGGGGGGTGGACGACACACCTGGAGTAGGGATATGCTAACACCTGTAAGGTAGGTGAGCAGCCACCTGTTGAGCGGTGTTTTACTCACGTTTTTACAGCCGTATGCAGTTTTTAAAAGTGGTGTTTGGTAAATAAGAGTACCCATTTAGACCTAAGATCACAGGTGAAGTAGAGTTCGTCTGTTGCTTTGACTTCAACTTTTAAAGGGGTTATGTTATGTGTGCTCAGCCCTGTAGTCGGTCGCTTTTATTTTTTTCTAACTCGAGTCAGGTACTCAGAGCTGGGTAGTCAGGTACCCTTTAGAGCTGGGTAGTCAGGTACCCATTAGAGCTGGGTAGTCAGGTACCCATTAGAGCTGGGTAGTCAGGTGCTTATTAGAGTTGGGTTGTCTGGTACCCATTAGAGCTGGGTAGTCAGGTACCCATTAGAGCTGGGTAGTCAGGTAACCATTAGAGCTGGGTAGTCAGGTGCCTATTAGAGTTGGGTAGAGTCTGGTACCCATTAGAGCTGGGTAGTCAGGTGCCTATTAGAGTTGGGTAGAGTCTGGTACCCATTAGAGCTGGGTAGTCAGGTACCTATTAGAGTTGGGTAGAGTCTGGTACCCATTAGAACAGAGTAGAGTCAATGGCGCACAAAGACCCACTTTGGTACACAGCCTCTAAAATAGCGGTTTATTTAGGTGAGTAAAGATTAAGGTTACTTGGGTGAGTAAAGATTAAGGTTACT